TTTGGTGCTAGTTGCTGTTTTGCTACCTCTTCTTCTTGTCCAACACTTGCATTATCTTCTTTTTCAAGTGGCTTCTTCTTAGGTTGTGGCTCTACCACCTTTCCACTCCTTGTAATAATTGCTTGACAGAATTCCTTTGGATTTTTCACTGTATTCCCAAAAAAAGAGCCTTGAGTTGGTTTATTTATTTTCTTCAAAATTTGGCCCATCTAATTCTCCAAGTTCTTGATGGATGCTTCTTGATTAGCCATCCTTGTGCTTGAATCCTGCATAAATAAATTTGTAGTTTGAGCCAATTGCACAAGTTCTTTTTCAAGAGATGATACCTGATCATTTGCTGGTTGGTTTGGTGGCTGCATTCGTCCTGCATTTTGAAAGTTTTGTTGCTGCCACTGTCCTCCTTGCTGATTTTTCCTTTGTGCAGGTGGAGTATAGTATGATTGGTTCGATGGCCTGGTATTTAAGTTGGAATTTGATCTGAACTGTTGCTGTTGAGGTGGATAAACAGGCTTTTGCTGAAAATTCTGCTGCTGCCACTACAGTTTTGAATTAAAATTCTGCTGCCTTGGCATGTTATTCATGAAATTCACTTGTTCAGCCCCTTGTTGCTGCATATATTCAACTTTGTCTTCACTTGTTCCTTCAGGGTATTCCTTTTGGTTAGTGGGGGCTACATAGTATACTGGTTTGTTCCCTTCTAACTTCATGTTTTCAAGCTTGGCATTGAGGAAATTTAGTTGTTGTGACATTACTTTGTTTTGAGCCAACAATGCATCCAATGTGTTCAGTTCTAGCACACCTATTTTTGAAGAATTCCTCTCCCTATGATTGTAATTATTGGATGTCATGACTTTAATAAGTTGGCGTGCTTCTTCGAAGGTCTTTTAAACAAATGAAACTCTAGCTGCTGTATCTACCATTATTTTTGTTGCTACATTCAGCCCTCAAAAGTTCTTAATTGAAGCCATTTAGGTAGCTCATGGTAAGGGTAACTTCTCAAAAGTTCTTTAAATCTGTCCTATGTCTCTTGCAATGTTTCATCTTCCTCTTGAGAAAAAGACAGAATTTCTTGCCTCAACTTGGTTGTTCTAGAGACTGGAAAATACTTCATAAAAAATTTGCTCTCTAAATCATCCCAAGTAGTGATACTTCCTTCCGGTTGGGATAACAAGCAGCTCTTTGTCTTATCCCTTTAAGAAAATGGAAAAAGATATAACCGGATAGCCTCATTACTCACACCATTCATTCTAATCATTCCACAAATGGTCAAAAAATTCTGAATGTGCAAGTGGGGATCTTCGGAAGGATGCCCAACAAATTGTTCTTGTTGGACCATTCTCATAAGGTCAAGTCTGATCTCAAAGTTGTTTGCTTGAATGGGAGGTCAAACAATGGAGGTGAGGTTTCCTCTCGGTCTTGCACGTGCATAGTTGTCCAAGTCCTCCATTTTTTAGTGAGATTTCCTGCCATTTCTGTAGAATTCTGTTCTTGTAGGTCTTTTTCTTTTTCTGAAGTTTGTCCTTTCTTTTTGTTCTTTTTCTTGAAATTAACAATTAGCTGATCAAGTTTTGTAGATTAATCACTATTTTTTATCTTCTCCTTGCCTCGCATCAATCGTTTTAGCTATTGCACTTAGAAATTCCTGCAAACACTTAAAACACAACAGAAATTATTAACCCAATCTCAAAGTTGTTTGCTTGAATGGGAGGTCGAACAATGGAGGTGAGGTTTCCTCTCAATCTTGCACGTGCATAGTCGTCCAAGGTCCTCCATTCTTCAGTGAGATTTCCTGCCATTTCTGCAGAATTCTGTTCTTGTAGGTCTTTTTCTTTTTCTGAAGTTTGTCCTTTCTTTTTGTTCTTTTTCTTGAAATTAACAATTGGCTGATCAAGTTTTGTAGATGAATCACTCTTTTTGATCTTCTCCTTGCCTCGCATCAATCGTTTTAGTTGCTGCACTTAGAAATTCCTGCGAACACTTCAAACACAATAGAAATTATTAACCCAAGCTAGCAGATTCTCATTACAATTGATATTAACAATTAATCCCTGGCAACGGCGCCAGAAACTTGATAAACTGTTTGTCAAGTGCACCAAATTGTTGAAGTAACAAAAGATTATCGTCCACAGGAATTAATGCTAAGTACCAAACTATAAGAATAGCACTAGTTGGATCACCAAAAATAGTGTATAACAGAATAAAAAGTACTTAATTACATAATTGTAAAAATGGAAATAAAAGTGGTGGAATTAATATTTATAAATGAACAAAAACTACAAGACTAAAAGTGGAGTAATAATTAAAATAATTACAAAATGTAAATGTCTAAATTACTGGAGATGGGTCTAAACATAATTCAAAATAGATTGAGTTCGGAATCCCCTATCCCTTTTCCTTTGCTTACAAGTATATGCATAACTCAAAATACAACTTCATCTAATGGTCATATTTTCTAAAATACCCAATCCCAATTCCTTGGTAATTGGTTCTAAAATGAAATTAGTGTCCTAATTCCTTAGATACAACTAAAAAAATTCAACATTAAGATTTAAAATCCAACAAACCACATCATTATAAACTTCTATTCCTAGACAATTTATAATAAGCATTTTGGTTCCAGTCCAAGAAAGCTCACAACTTTCCAGCAATGAACCCCTTTTCATCAACCCCATTCACGGAGAACAGTGAGGCACTAAGTTCAGAATCAAAATGTTAGAATAAAGCTTGTATCTTGAGCTATATCCAAGGTTAGTTCATTGCAAAGGGTGAAGGTATAAGCTCATTCTCACTCAACTCCAAGATATTTAGCTAGACATAAGGAAAGCAAGTAATATAAAACTGAAATATATTGCAGAAATAGAGTTCATGTTCACAGAAACGTTTACAACAAGTAGAAGAAATGAGAAGTTACTGTTCTATTACATAAACCAGAGAAAGTGAGATGAAGTCCAAGTTCCTATGAAGATCCTCTAGCAAAAATGTAAAAAAAATAACCTAGCTACCATATTCTACGTACACTGTATGAAAAAACCTAGAATTATGCGCCTCTAGAATGTACTAAAAAAGAAAGAAAAAGATGTTGCCTTTTCAGAAATTTTTTGCTTTTATATGCTTAGTCAACATCGTGTCCCCATAATCAGGAATCTGTGTCCCCACAAAAGTGTCCTGCAACACACAACTTCACCTCCTTAAGTCCAAAGTGCCAATTTCTTTTAACTCCCTTCAAAATTAAACTGTCAGCCATCAAAATATAATTGATTCATCTATTTTTCAACACTTACAACATTCCATTGAATTTTTCAATTAATTGCATTAACTTATAATTTAAATTCAATGAAATATGCAAAAAACTATTAATTTTCTAGATGAGTTAGTGACTTATCATAGTTACAGTCTGTAGTATGACTGATTAAAGCTATCTTGATTTGAGTTGATTCTATGATACTTGAAAGGAATCATGTCGTTAAATGACTTGTGACCGCCATAATCAGATCAATTCAAATCATTGAAAGATGATGACTTGATAATATCAATGATATGTGCATTTACAGTTCATTGAATCTTCAAGTCGTCACATAGGCCAAGTGAGAGATTGTTAGATTATATTAATAATTTTATTATAGTGACCTATGTAACTTATGACATGACTCTAATTAATGATTTAATGTGATAGTGGTTAAATATAAAATATAAAATCATTGAGGGTATAATTGTAAATATAATTATAAGGAAACCTTCCCCTCTCCCTTCAGATAAATAAAAGAGTGGTTACCAAATAGAGGTTATGGCATTCTCTATTCTCTATCACTTTCATGGTCTCTAAGTGTGCTCATGGTAAACGCAAGAAAGGAACTTCTCTCAACCATTTGAGAAAAGCTAAAACAGGAAGGAAGAGTTGGAAAAATACAAAGGGATCAACAACATCAAAGAGAGAGGTAGCATCAAGGAACAATGGATTCAGGTTAGTATTCTCTAAACCTTTGATCAAGTGAGCACCATGTATGGTATTGTGAGAACAACGTAATTCAAAATCATAAATGAAAAATGATAATAGTCATATCAAATAGAAATTACATAATAAAATAAGAAAATCTAATAGTCTCAAGCTATAACACAAGTAATTAAATCCATTTTCTTCATTACATTAAATTATAAGTTTTATTTATCTTCTAACACATATTATAAGACTATTTTTTGTGTATTCTTATTAATATGAGTTTTTAAATATATTTTAAATTATTAAAAAATATTTATTAATTTTTGTAAAATTTTCATTAAATTATATTAAAATATTATTTAAAATAAAAAATATTTTTTTTAAAAAATTTCTACTTGCCCTCCTCCAAATTCCCCCTATTTTATAGGGGAAGTGTTTTTTAAGTAAATCCCACATTTTTCTATTTCCTTCTCCCTTGTTTTTCCTCATCCAAATATCTTAATCTTATTTTCTTTCCTCCAATTTCTTTTTAATATTTTCTCCTCAGACATACAAATCCTACATGACATATTTTTGAATGGTTTAGTACTTCAGACTTTAAATTTAGCCATTGACAATATTTACTAATAGAGAAATTATTGACAATTTTTTTTACTGTTAAAAAACTGTGGGCAACACCATTATTTGTAACTTTGGACTGTCACTAATTATAGGATATTTTCTTGTAAGATAAATTATATAATAATTTTAACTAATATTTGTCAATGCACTACAATTTTTACAGATTATTATTATTATTAAAAATAATATTAATGAAAATAAAATAATCCACGATTCAAATAATTAAATTTTACTTATAATATTAAGAATTTAAAAATAAATCTCACAATTTCATGTATGAGATTTGTTAATAGCTAGCTACTTTGGTACTATTGTTAACTTTCAAAAAAATCTTCTTTTTTTAAAGAGAAAACAGGGGTTTTTATCATTTTTTATTCCTCAACAAGACAAAAATTGGACAAATTTTGTAGATTTTTGTGTTTATTTAATAGTTTATAGTATTGGAGTGTTTGTGGCATTAGAAAAGAGGCAGAGAAGATCAAGGTGTTCCCATGATGCTGGTGACGCTTGTCCCAACCCCAACCTGCCACTCTATAAAGCCTTTTTCCACCCAAAGCACAACACACACCGACACCCTTTTATTTATTTTTGAGTTTCACTAATACATATCACTATCTGCTACCTCCAATCTCATTCCCTATATTGCTACCACAACCTCTTTTTATTATTGTGTCCAAATTAATTATACCTCTTCCTACACCATGCAACTTTTCACATCACCCTCCTTTTCTTTCTTCTCTTCTCACTTCATTCTTGTTATCATATCACTCTTTTTTCTCCTTCCTTTCCTCCAATGGTGGCACCACCACAAACACAAACGCTTACCCCCTGGTTCCATGGGTTGGCCCTACCTAGGAGAGACCCTCAGACTTTACACTGAAAACCCAAATTCCTTCTTCTCCAACAGGCAAAAACGGTATTGATTATGTGTGCATGTGACTTGTATATCTACTTTCTCATCTCACATATAAGAAACAAAGCAAACTATATTATATAGTATATAAAAGGGTGTCTTTAGATAACCAGTTTTATCAGATATTCATATAATAATCTTGACTAAATAAACTTATTTCTAAGTTGAATTGTAAAATATAAAATATAAAATAAATTGACATGATTTCAAAAGGAAACCATGATTTTATTTTGATGTGTCATGAATTATGAATTGTACGTACAGGTATGGAGATATATTCAAGACACACATACTGGGTTGTCCTTGTGTGATGATATCAAGCCCGGAGGCAGCTAGAATTGTGCTTGTGACTCAAGCTCATCTTTTCAAGCCAACATACCCTCCAAGCAAAGAGAAGATGATAGGGCCAGAGGCGGTGTTCTTTCAGCAAGGTGCCTATCACACCATGCTCAAAAAGTTAGTTCAAGCCTCATTTTTACCATCCACAATTAAGAACTCAGTCTCTGAGGTCGACCAAATTGTCATCAAAATGGTGCCAAATTGGGCCAACACAACCATCAACACCTTGCAAGAGATGAAAAAGGTATGTTACATATTCATTACATCACCTAGGGAAAATGTTTGACAAAAAAAAGAAAAATAGTATTAGATTTGAGAAGAGACGTAACGTGACAAAAAGGAAAAATTATAGAGATAAAGATGTCAAATGGGTAGTTTTAAAATTTGTCACTTAATGACCTCATATACATGTCGGTTATAACTGATAAAAAAACCATATATTAAAATATTTGTTTCATTCTATACATCAAGAATCTCAAGAAATTTTCTTGGTATGATGAATAGTATGCATTTGAAGTAGCTGCAATTTCGGCCTTTGGTGAAATAAAGGAGCTAGAAATGGAGGAAATCAGAGAGCTTTATCGTTGTTTGGAGAAGGGCTATAACTCCTATCCATTACATCTTCCTGGGACTTCCTACTGGAAAGCAATGAAGGTAAAATGCATTTTCTTTTTATTTGTTTTTATTGTTTTTTTTACTGTTTTAGCATTTATGAATATGTAATCCAGGACTAAATAATTATCACAAATCGTTGCATAATACGAAAGATTTTGATACGAATTTATTACGAGAGATTTTTTCCGTACGAATCCATTAAGAGAGAACGTGCCTTCATTTTATTAGTTTAACAAACCAAACAATAAGTTAGGAGAATGAAAGTAATAATTTGGACACAAGTCACGCAACGATGCTTCGTATACAGAAGTAAGACTTATTATTTAACAATGAAAGCTAACGTTGATTCCGATTCGGTTGGTGGCTTCGTGTTGAGATTTTTCGTACAGTATAGCATGACTGATACACAGTTTTTTGTCGAAATATGTACAATTTAATAACTTTATAATTCCAACTTTGAAGATATTTTCTGAAATTTAAGGAACTATATCTTAATTAATTGTACTACTTTTTAATTTATGTGCAATTAGTAATCAACTGTTATATATTTAAACGAATAATAACTAGCTTTTATGATGGTGGGAGAGTGTATTTGAAAGAATTTATTAAAATAGTCCATGAGTTTCATCAATTCTTTTCGACTTATGTCAATAAATTTTATAATCTAATTGTTATATATATTTTTTATAGAATAAAAATTATTAAATGAATATAATTAAGTTGTTGTTTACCCAAAATTAAAAATGTTAAATTAATTTTTAGAATACATTTTAAGCAATGATTATTATAAATTTTAAATATATTAATTGAAAGTGATAAATTTTATAATTTTAATGTAACAGTTTATCTGATAAAAAATTGATCACTTTTAATTGTTTAAAATTATTAGTCACGAGATATTAACAAAACTTATATAACAATGACAATTAATGCATTGGAGTATGACTGATAATTAAAGATACTTGAATTACTTTTGACTGTACTTATGTGGTTAATTATTTTGAAAGATCTATGATGATAAAGCAGTGCTCTCTTAATAATTAATATATTGGTAAAAACTATTATATGAAGGCAAGGAAGCTTCTAAGTGAGAGTATAAGGAGGATCATAGAGAGAAGAAGAGAAGGGGAGAACTATGGTGGGGGACTATTGGGAGTTCTGTTGCAAGCGAGAGGTCACAAGATATACCAACTCACTGATTCTCAAGTCGCTGATAATCTAATTGGTGTTATCTTTGCTGCACATGATACCACAGCCAGTGCTCTAACATGGGTCCTAAAGTACTTGCACGACAACGTTAACCTATTGGAAGCTGTCACGGTCACACTCTCCCTCACTACCTTCTATTATTCAATTTTCAGTTCTTTATTTTGTCAAAATGTTAACTTCTGTTAAACAATTACAAATTCTACTCGTTTTACTCTTAGTTAAGAATATAAAAACATAATAAATATCATGTTTTTAGTAAATTTTACTATTTTTAAATATTTAAAATCATCCTTAAGAATTTAAGATTAATAAAAGCTTTTAGTTTTTTTTATCGCATCACTTGTATTGTTTTAGCTTTTATCACAACATTATCATACTTTTTTCTCTCATTCATAATCCAATTATGTTTTCCTTATACTTAATTTTTTTCACTTATTTAATATTTCTCTTTCATTTTTACTTTAATATATCACTTATCACATTTATTTTTTTTTTTTTTTTTTTTTTTTTTTTTTGCGATTAAGTATATATATTCCAAGACGTGTTAAGTGATCATTATTCCTGATTTAGATTATTTTTACTGTAAATCTTAATTGGTGCAGAAAGAGCAAGAAGGAATAAAAAACAAGCTATCTATGGAAAATCGTGGACTTTCATGGGATGATACCAGGCAGATGCCGTTCACTACCCGGGTAAATTAAATTTTAATTTGCGTGATTTTGTTTTCTCTTTTCTGTTTCTTAAAAGATGATTTGTATGTTGATTTTGGTCAAAATCAAATTAGTTTTTCAATGACAAATAATGTCATCAATTTTGTTCACTAAAAATCACTTGGAAGACATTAATTGACATCGACCAATTTGATGTTACTATAAAATCGGAAAATTAAACAAGATATTATACGAGGTAGGCATGAAAAAGAACTGGATATTTGATTTCTTTTTCTTTTTCCATTTTTTTTTGTGGTAAATTAAAGTATCACTGTGATGAGTTAAACTCGTCTAAATTATTAGACTTAGCTCAGCTCCTAGGCCCAACTTAAATCTCCTTTTACTTTATTTTTTAAATGGGAAGTTTAATATCTAAATCATGATTAAGTTAAATATCAAAAAGGTTGTGAAATAATTGTGATGAATTGAGAATGAGATTTCAGGTAATCCAAGAAACATTGAGAAGTGCAAGCATACTGTCTTTCACATTCAGAGAAGCAGTAACAGATGTTGAGCTGGAAGGTTACTCGATTCCTAAAGGTTGGAAGGTCCTTCCACTCTTCAGAAGCATTCATCATTCTGCTGATTTCTTCCCTCAACCAGAGAAGTTCGACCCCTCAAGATTCGAGGTAAAATATGATAAAAATGTAAAATAAATTACTTGAAGGCCATATAAAGTGCACAGAGTGATCATCTAATAATCTTAAGATGTGTGGTCAAAGGTTATTATTGTTCTAGTCTTTATTTGGATGAGCACTATGATTATATCTGACTTGATGAAAATGTCTTTGATTTTGAGGTCCCTAAACACCCAACAAAATATCCCATTATCTAATTGGATTCGTGGGCACAAAACAAATCAATAAAAACTCAAGTAAAGATTTCGGGACCAAGGGTTATAGAAAGGGGGTGATGAAGGGTTATATTTTATCTTTTATGTCAGAAACATAAGGTTATATCAATGATGTAAAGTCCCTTTCATTACCTATTTGAATCTTCCCTCTACTTAGGTGATCATGTGTCTTCACAGGCCTGCTAATATCAGAGCACGTGATCTAAGTTTGTAGGCTAGTAGAATATAAAATAAATTTCTATATCCTTTGTATATAATGTGTGTATATATATATATATAGTAGTACTAGGACATGAAACAAGAGGCCTTAAAGGGATATGGGGTTGACTTAGTTTATGTGATGATGCAGGTGCCACCGAGACCAAACACATACATGCCATTTGGAAATGGAGTCCACTCTTGTCCAGGCAGTGAGCTGGCTAAGCTTGAGCTTCTTGTCCTCCTCCATCACCTCACCGTTTCTTACAGGTCTAACATTTCTTCCATCATCAATATCACACACACACATGAATGTTGATTAGTATCATTTATTCAAATTAATGCAACTTTGTTCATTATATTGTTGATATAAATACACAAATATTATGATATTAATCATAAAAAATTATTAAAATGTTAATTTTGGTTTGATAAAAACTATACTGATAAAGATTATCTTAAGGTATAACAATTTTGTATTTGTTAATGAATAATATTTTTTATAATGTATGAAATTATAATTAATTAAGTTTATTATATACAAAATGAGGGTATAAGTTTGTCACAGCGATGAGCAAATGATGATAGATTCGAAACTTAATTATGACTTTAACCCTCACTTTTGTAGGTATATAACACCTTTGGATTTTAGATGAGTCCATTACGACCAAACAATTAGTATATGGATCTTGAGTGAACTTTTTTGCACAATTAGTTTGTCTGCTACTCGAGATCCCTCAATTGACCATTAGAAGATTGATTGATCATTGAAGGTGGTCCTAATTAGTGTGTTCCACAGGATGTGGAAGTGGTCCTTTTTAAAGTATTAGCTAGTTAACTAGGGAGCATATATCTCATCAACAACCATGTATTTCATACGTATACGTGGCACACATGCATGGTATTGTTGCCAAACGTATTCATAAGACTACTGCACATGTATTTCACTAATTTGTCATCTTCCTAGCTGCCTAGAGACCATAAAACAAAGTTCTTGCTAAATTTATGGTGTATAGGAAGTATTTTATTTACACTTTGCTAAAGTTAGTGTTAGTTATACTTATTTATATTTATTTTTCTTATTTTATATATTATTATTACACATTAACATCCTTTTTTTAAATTAAATACCACATAATTTCTTATTTTATGTGTAAATAATACACATAATATACCCTTAAAATGACAAAATAAGAGAACAGTAACAAGCATTTGTTTAAGCTTGTTCCAAAAATTGGTTCAAAAAGCACTAATTTATTTATAATAAGTTAAACCAAATGCACACTAAATATATTTTTTTAATGAAAAAGGTGTAGATATATATTTAATAGGTTCAAAAACAGTTATTTATTTATAATAAGTTAAATCAAGTGCACACTAAATATATTTTTATAATGAAAAGAGGTATATATATATAATTTTACTACCAAGGTAACTCAATTAAAGGTAGTGTAATAATCTTAAATATGTATCCAAGAGTTGAATGCAAGGAGTGTGTGTATATATCAACGAGTGAATTGTATATTTAGTACTTTAGAGGTATAACAATAATTATTTTGGTCCTCTTAATTAAGTAATTTTTCGTTATATTAATCAGTGATATCAAATATATTAACTTAAGGATATATTGACACTAATTTAGTCCCTTACTCATATAAACTTTTAGTTTCTAAATGATCTAGTACACACAAAGATCATTTTGATGTTATTTTCTATTATTAAAAAAGTTAATTTATTTTTAATTTTTTTAAAAATCAAAACAATAACAATTATATTTTTAAATGAATAAATTTTTTTTACTCAAATGAAAAATCCTTCTCTTTTCATAGCCACTTAATCAATGAGTGTGACCTTACACTGATCTTTATTACTATCTCGGCCAATAAGGATTAATTGTCCTTTAGTTTCCCAAGCAAACCTGGTCCAGAAATACTCAAAACTTCACACTCATAGGACACCCTCTCAATCACAGAATAGCACTGTGAATAAAGTAGACTTGCCTTTCTTTTTCAAATGATGCCAACAATAAATTTAATCGATCAAAAGTTATCTATGTTTAATTTGCGTAAAATATTAGATATGGAAATAGGAAATTGTTACGTGATATATCTTTTAACTGCTTCAACCTAAAAAATCTAAACTCATTGAAAATTTAGGGACTATTTAGCTTAAACAAAAAAAGTTTTATTTTAATTTTTAATTATAAAATTCTTGTTTTTTTCTATTTTTAAAAAATTATACAAAAATAATGAAAATATATTTTATTTTACTATTTATCGCATAAATATTTAAAAATAAAAAGAATAAAAAATAGTGATAATTTTATAATAAAAAACACAAAAACAAAAAAAACTCTAAAACTAATCAACTCTTTAATTTACATATGCTTAAACCTAGCAGTTTATAGTTTAGAAAAGTTAGCCTTTGGTGCATGGGTTTGTATGTATTTTTTGGTAAAGAAAAGTTTTGAAGAGAGAAAAAAGAATAAGCCTTAATTAGAGGTAAAGAAAATTTCTTAATTTAAAAAATATATTTATTAAGGGCTCTAGTTTCAAAAGAATCTTATTTTATTCTACTCAATTAACCCTTGAATTCAAGAGTCAATGTTTTTACAATGGAAAAAATAGATATTCACTTTTAACCAACTCCATCTAGAAAGCAAAGACAAACAAGCCATAAGTAATTATGAATTACGAATAACATAGATATCTTATTTAATCCAAAAATTTTAAGATATCAAACCATATTTTTGTATCACTTGTATGTTACTCAAATATTATTTATTTTGACTCAATAAAAGACCTTTTCTATTTACACTTCTTACTTAAATAATAAAATAACCAAGTAATCAACACGTTAAGAGTTAATATTTTACAAGCTATCAACTTGTAATATTAAGAACAAATGCGAGGAATTCAGTTTACTCAAAATAAAATGAACATATATACAGGTTGTCCATGTAATTTTAAAAAAACTTTCCCGAGAAAATGTGTCAAATATGTTAAACCATTTTTTATATTTTTAATTATCTAAACATGTGTGTGTGTGTATATATATATATATATATATATATATATAGATATAGAATAAAATTAGTCCACGAAATTTGCCAGCTTGATCAAATGACAAGAACTCTGACTAACAAGACAAAAGTCCATAATGTTAGATAGTTAGCAGTCAAATTTCAATGGAAGATGTTTTGCTTGACACCACACGAAGATCTGCACAATCACACACCACATCATATTTCACCTTGTCCTCATCATAGATATTAATTTGAGCGCGACCCTGACCCACCTACCCGTTTTGCTCTTACATTTGAAACAATGTTATTGTTTAGTCGGAGAATGTTAGAATGTATGCGATGCCAGCATTTTGATCAGTACTTTGCATTGACATGATGGATGATTTTGTCAATTTGATCAAACCAAAATATATCGTTATTGCATAATCATATTCACTTTAATATAAAATATATGTACACAATGTAAGTTTCCAATATGTGACACTAATTCTGATGATTTGGAAGCATATGGACTAAACTATGTTTTGCCAAAAGTGTCAAATTTTGAAACGGATTTTGATGGTTGCTTTAGGTGGCAAGTCATGGGAAATGAGGATGGAATCCAATACGGTCCTTTTCCTGTGCCCAAACATGGATTACCAGTGAAGATAACACTCAGGAACAAGATATTTACGTGAAATTGAAGATTCAGACCTATCAAAAATAAATTCATAAAATGCTAAGAAAGTGGGGCCAAAGCAATTTGTCCCTGAAAGATAATCAATTTTTTTTCTTTTCTTTTTCATTTGTCCTAGAGATAGATTCTTTTCCCATTAGCAACCTCCGATTACCCTCTGCATGATCAATGTGCTTGTGCAGGAAACAAATGTACAAGTAAATAAAATATTCAAAATTAGAATATGTGAATGCTGAATATGTACGTAATTGAATTGATGTTTAGATTGAAGATAAGTGTGCAGATTATGTCAGGTTCAACATTATCTTAAGTTCTAAATTCGATTCCAATGCCTAAAATGTTTCATTGGTCGTGAATCTCTCTGGAATCCAAAGAATCAATGTGGTTGTGGATAAGGCAAGGCTTCAATATGACAAAAACTAAGCAAAAAAATTACTTAAATTTTGTATCACTAAGGGGGAATGTGTGCACGTGGCGTAAATTGATTGGCAGTTATGTAACTACACGTGGGAAGTGTTTGAACACCGAAAAGGAGCATGCGTGGCGAAATTACCATGTTGTAAAGGATTCGTTGCATGTGGAGTCGGGAGACAAAAGAAGCCTAACATGTTAAAATCTCAGTTGTCAATCAATGGGGAAAAACTGGGTTTTGTTGAACCAGAAATCAACACTCCACAAACATATTGTATGGACAAAAATCATCTTCCAATTATATTCTGATAAGATACTGTGCTCTGTCCCATGTTAACATTCATGATAAGTTATGAAAGATCAGTGATTTTCAAACAACCTCGACCCTTCGCATTTTTTATTGTTTTGTGTATCTTCAGACAACTTCTTATGACGTTCAATGATATCAATCCTTTCTTACATTAAGCACCAAGATGTCAGGTTTTAATACGATAAAGACGTACAATTTTAGTAGTCTTATATTTGAGAGAAAATCACTTTAATTTATTGTGTATTTTGGTGAAACATTAAGTAAGAATTACAAATATATAGAAAAATAACATTTTTAATGTGTTTGGATGGTTATATAATTGAAGCCTTATATTTTGGTGAAACATTAATTTATATAAAGTAACTATTTTGTTAGTCTCTTTTTCATTCATCTAAATATATAAAGTAAATTTTTGCATTTTTTCTCTTTTATTTCTAGTCATCCAAACAACCCATCTTTTTCGTCTCATTCTTGTATTTTATTTTTTTACCTTTTTATTTTTAATTATTTTCTTTGTACTCATATATTTGAATTTAAATTAATGATTTTTGAATATCTTTTTTCATTTCTTTTCTCTGACATTTAATGTTGTTAAATATGTGTAATTATAATAGTAAGATAAGTCTATTTTTATAATTATGTTAATTAGAAAATTGAATATTTTATAATTATTATTATTATATCAATATAAATATATGCTTCATTACGTAGTTAAAACACATAGTATTACACAAATAAAACAATATTTATCTCACTATTTCTAAACAAAATATCTACTGAAATATGAATATATTTTTAATTTATAAGTTTCATGTTAAATTTTATTTATTTTCAAGCATGCATTTAATAACTTAAGAAATTTTAGTTGTTGGGCTCCAAACTTCACGAGTTTTCTGACAATTAATAATACTTTGAGGGAGTTCTTTGCATTTTAGCCCTTCTCTTTTGTCTTTAACGAGAATTTACCAGCATTGACGCGAGGTTAACATATTAGACAATATTGTTATTATTTTGAGTCTTAACAAGTACGCAAAGTGAACTCTTCAAAACATTCATAAAGTCACGATAAAAAAAGACCATTAATAAAGTAAAAGGAAGTGGTCATCTTGAACCAAATTTTAGTTGATCAAGTAGCACCTCAAGCTTGAATACATTAGATGTTTTTATTCGGATTAGACTTGACCTATGTCAATGCCTTACGTACCTAAACTCAATCCAATGGTTTAAAGTTTATGTATTTGAATGCTGAAAAGGTTTAGTACTTCCAAAAGTTGGAATGCTCTAGTTGTCTTCAGTGCAGATCCAACAATACTAACAGAGTTAATGCCTATGCTTTAGCAAATATGACCCCATCTTCGGCTGAAATCATCTGGACATCCTCATCATTTATCAGACTTGGTGGTTCCAAGCAATGGAAGACTGCTTCATGTAATCAATTACTTGCTTAATTTACTACATTTGGATCACCCAGAATATTTATTGTAGATGATGGGTATGTGGAGCTAGCTGATATGCAAATCAAGTAAGGGAAATTACCTAGAAAGACAAGAGGCTGCTTGGAAGTTCTAGTTAAGCTACGACTATAGCCATTGTGCTTGAAGCCTCTATGGGAGCAG